TTGAGGCACGCAATGGCGCACCCGACACCTCCTCTCCTCCTTATTCTCCTAGAGCCCCCACTACTCCCGTGGCAAGCAGAGCCTTAGTGCCCGCAACGCCTCCACCTGCACCATGCATGACTCCTTCTCTTCCTAGTTAAATAGTTGCACCCTCTGGTACATTTTCTTTCTTCTCTCTCTGCTCCAGATGGAATTCATGATTATCTTTATTTTTTATATAAACACGATATCCTTGCTTTGAACTTCTGAGTCTTCTTTCTTCCTTGACTTTTAAGTCCATTCCCTAGTGTCCCTGGTTTAAGAGTTTGAATACCTTGAGGCCGGGGATGCAGGTTCCTTGTGAACCAGGCCGCTTGTCGGCCACAAAATAAATTTAAGAGGGATTTCTCATCTGCTGCTGGCATGACTTGCCGCTGAACTTTTTCAGCGAAAAGTTTACCTTGTTCCTTATCTTTGAAAGTGACGCCAGGGATGTTGTCCATGTGATATTATCGCCGAGGACACTCATTCTGTCTGCCATGCCGGGGATAGGGTATACCAAACCCTTCTCCTGTTCTCTGGCCTGAGTGAGACGTCTTCTCAACTTCTCAAGCAACTTAGGGGATACCAAACCCTGTTTTTTCTCTCTGGTCTGAGCATGACACACTTTCACCTCTCAGACAAATAAAAGGGGATACCAAACCCCTTTTCTTTTCTTTGGCTTTGAAGCTCTTGAAGTGTCTGTGGGATCCTGCAAAACAGTAAGCCTCTCAGTCCCAACATACAGACTCCCTGACAAGGAGTCATCAATCAATAATTAAATAAAAATAAATAGATATAGAAACCCATAATAAAATAATAAATAAACGTAAACAATTCTTCACACCCAAGAGTTATTGATTGCCTTAATTTTGGCCCACCACTGGTAAAAAATGACAGACCTCCAGTCAGTCTGTCATACCCCATTCGGTCCGCCTCAGGCCAAGACTAATCAGACCATTTGTCTTGACGACCCCTTTAACCTGCGTCCAGGTCAGGACCAACATACCCACTACTCGAGTATGATGACCCTTTGACACTCTTGCCAAGACACCCAAACTATACCGGGTTTGGTCACCCTATGACAGTAGACCTCCCGTCAGTCAAACTGTCCCGTACCCGGATTTGACCACTGCGGTCAGGGACCGGCTTACCCACCAGTTTTTGGCCAAGGGCACTGGCTGCCCCGCCCAAACTTTTTGAACGACTCCAGGCTCTGGCAAACCTCATTGGATTGCAACCTCTGACTGCGGTAGGGTTCCAGCTAACCCCTTTTGATCTCACGGGCCAGACCCCGGAGTCTTAGCCTCAGTCAACTACGGAATTTGACACTCGCGTTGGGGACCTGCTGACCCCACCAGATTGCGACCTACTGCGATAAGGTTGTGGTTGGCCCCGACAATCAGGGTTATCGACCCCCGGACCCGGGGCCCCGGCGGGGGTCCCGGGGGTTGGGGGGTCGGCACCCCCGGCCCCGGCTTTCCAAACAAAAAAAAAAAATAAAAAAAAAATCGAAAGATATATATATATATATATATACTGGGGGGTGCGCACCGCCGCCTGGCAGCCCCTGGCGATTTAT